CATGCCAGCTGACTTTGGCTCCAGCTGCAGGTCTGTTTTATCACACAGTGTATGTTCAGAATTGGTCTGCAGCCTGAGCTCTGGGAATGCCCCATATCCCAGGGTTCTATAGCACAGATGCCTATACTGCACTTAAAGAGCCCTGCAGCTGAACTTTACAAGCTCAAGTCAGCAGGCACAGGCCACGGCAACATGCCCTCAGTGCTCGAGTCTGACCACCTCCTTTCCCCTTCCTCACATTGTGAGGCAGTGCACTGTAGCTGCTTAGCAGGAGGGCTGGAAAGAACAACTCACTGCATTTTTCAAACTCTTCTGCTTGTCTGCCTGATGTTTTGGTAATCTTGTTCATCTACCACACCCCCATGGCTCTCACCAAAGCTCTCTTCTACATCATAGCATTTGTCCACCTCCTCTCTCCCTTCCCCACAATGTCTCCATTCTCCCATTCTTTTCTCCCTCACCCTCTGCAGCTCCCCACTAGGGATGTGAACAGGTAAGCGGTTAACCTTATCGGGTGATGCTTACCAGGTAACAGTTAACTGATGCCAGGGAGTAGCTCCTTGCCCCGCTGGGCCCACCACATCTCCAGTGGGGCCCACAGAGCCAGCAGGCCCATGTGAGGCAAAAGGGAGTGGGAGCCCTACAGACCGGGGGCTAACATTAAATCTTGACCCTGGCACCATCTCCACCCCTTTAATTGGTGCCACCATTTCTAACCATGTCCATTCTCCCTCCCGTGCACACACCCCATTCTCTTTCTCTCTCTGAGAAGAGATCATAGGCATCCATGCCCTCTTTATATCTCATTCCCTCTAGCTCAAAGTGACCTGGATCTCTTTATCTAATGCTGCTTCTGAAGCTGCCCTCTCTTACAGAGGCCTCTCCTTTTCTCTGACCTGGATCCAATCATGATGCAGGAGCTGGGCTTCACTTCTCCAACTTCACCCTTTCTAACCCCTTCTAGCTCATCTTTCCCACTCTTTCTCCTCTTTTGAAAAATATTGTGTCTGATTTTTCTCATCTCCCTCTCCATACTGCTGTCACTTGTCATCCACCCAACTCTTCCCCATCATCCTTCCTCTCTGGTTCTATTTCTTGCCCCTTAATTTCCCATGCTACTCCTTAATTCCTTCAACTTCTATGTTGATAATCCATCTGAACTTTAGTTACATGTTTCCCTCACTCACACCTGTTCATGAAACATGCAGCCCACATTATTCAACCACTCACCAAAAGGCCAGTTCATTTGATTTGGTTTTCACCAAGCACTGTTCTGTTCAGAAAGGTTGCTGACCCCATGCCAAGATTTAACCTTCCTGCCCTGGAACGTAACACTCTCCCAGTTTGTGTGTGTGTGTGTGGGGGGGCTTGGTCTCCTGCTCTGGCTTTTCCTGTGAGGAGGTGAGGAGCAGCGTGCGCATGCATCCTGGCACGTGGATACAGGATCTGGGTGGGAGGTGGGGTGCAGGAGAATGCTGAGAGTAGGGTGTCTGTCCAGAAGGAGGGGGTAGGAACAGGGTCTCAGCATGGAGGATGCAGGGTCTGGGCAGCACTTACTCTCTCTTCTCTTCCCCCTCCCCCCATGTCTGTAACAGGGTTTATTTATTGTAACAGACACTCACATGTGGCAGCCAGACCCTGCTCCACACATGGAATAAGTTCGCGGCCCACGGGCTGAGTGTGGAATGGAGGCTGTGCCTTGCCAGGAGAGCAGGGAGTCCGGCTGGCATGTCCAGACAGGCTGACCAGGATCCAGCCTGCTGGCACCTGGATGATGGACTCCAGTGGAACCATGGGGCTCTCTGGCAGGTGCGAGTGCACAGTGCACGTGAGAGGTGAGGACAGAGCAGTATGCAGAACAGCGGGGACACGGCCATGGCAGCAGCGGGTCCTTCATGGGCAAGATGGCGGCTGGATCTGCTTTTGCCCCCCGTGCTGCTCTCAGGCTTTCTGTTCCAGGCATGGCTTTCTGCTGCTCAATTGGCCAGATTTTGGTCCATGGAGTAACAGGAAAAGCCTGAAGTCAGTGTGCCAGTGTGCACTTTGTTCCTCCTGCCAGGGGAGGAGGAGCATGGGCCCACATGCGTGGAGACATTCATGGCTCTGGCCTTTTCCCCAATTGCACAGCAAGGCTCGGGGCTTTCTCCACTCCCCCGCCGTCTCCCATGTGTCACTGAAAATCATCTTAAGTGCCACTTATGGCACATGCTGGGTGTTGCCGACCCCATTGGAGAATACATCTACACTTTGGGATAAGGTTGAATAAAGATACACAACTCTAGCTCCATTAATTGAGTAGCTGAAGTCAATGCACCTTAACTCAAATTTTGGCACTCTGCGGGAGCATACTCTCCCTTCGACTTCCCTTACTCCTCATGGAAGCAGGACTACCGGCATCAACCGGAGCACCCCCCTTAGTTAGAAGTAGCATGTCTTCACCAGACCCTCTAATTGGAACCCCGGAAGACTGACAGAAGCAGCTTCAATCTTCTCTGTAAGGTAGACATACCCTTACTGAGTTCTCCCTCTATCACCCAGTTTTCTTTAGCATCATCCATCAGCCTCCTTCCTCACGGCCTATCACTTGACTTTTTTGTGACTTCCAATCCATAAGCACAGATGACTTCTTGTCTACTTTTAGGTTCTTCTCTCTGCCTTCCATTGATATCGTTGTTCTTTCTCGCAATGCTTTACTTCCTTCCACCCTCATTTCATTTGTTTCTCTTCACCATCGCAAGGTCTGTTCTGCCAATCCCCAAAACTGGCTCATCCTAACATCCAGTTCCTTTGCTCCTGCTCTTGGACCACAGAGTGTCTGCTGGAAATCCCATGACCAAGCTGACCTTCGTCACAGATATATTCTCTCCTCCTTCACTTCTGACATCTTTCTAGCTAAACAACTCTAAACTGCCATCATCTCTTTGTTTACCATTGGAGATGACCACTTTTCACTTTTACTATGCTACCTACCTCTTTGCCATTGCAACATACATAAGCCATTTGTTTTCACTTTCAAGGCTTTTCCCCACCTACCCCCACACTACTTACCATTTTTATTCACTACTGAAATATCAGTTCCCACTCTGATCATCCCATGATGCCAGCACATTTTCCAACATGCATCTCACATATGAGAAGAGCTCCTTGTAAATATCCACAAAGCTACCACACATCCTCCTTCAGAATCCTCCTTTACTGTAATGCACATAACTTGATAAATGGCTGGACTAAACAGCTATACCAAGATCACTGCCTATCTTGCTGACCAATAGCCTGACTGTTTTTTTGTACTCTCCTGTCCAACTAAATCAATCCATTATCTCTTGTCCCATACTGACATTCTAAGTCTTTTGTGACAAAGACTGTATTTTTGTGCTGTTTGTACACCACTTAGCACAACAGGGGCCTAGTTGCTACTAAAATGGAAATAATTTAAAAAAATGAAAGTTTTATATCCACACACTGAAATCACATGGTCTTTTTAATATGATGTACGCATGCCTGTGAACATATCCATGTGTAATATGCTGATATTCCAGTTTGCCTCCCTAAACACATAATTTCTCTTTCCTTAATTAGGAATCTCCATTCAACATACAGAGCAGAAATTTTCCAACAGTATTTAAAAGTTTTCTTGTGCACATGGCATTCATGACCCACTCACCTGTGACAAAATTATACATAACATATCATTGAGTATTACAAGAGACAAGCTGATACTTCCATTCTAAAATGGAAATTCCTTCTTTAAAACAGTTTTCTGAAAGCCTTTACAGCTAACTTTAACTTGAAGCCAGTTTTACAGCAATTTTGCATTTTTTTTTAAAGCAAATATTCAAAGAAAAAAAATCTCTTCAAAGGTCTGACTACAAAAAACAAAGCAACTTGGCAAAGTTAATAGCATGACATTTCCATCATCACTATATTTAAATGTTGTAAAGTCTAGCTAATTTAGAGCTCAGTTCTGCCATTTTTACTCACTTTGAACTGTCTTACTCAGAGCAGTCTCACTGAAATCTATAAAATTATTCATGGAGTAAGGTAAATATTAGGTCATAAATAAAAGTGACTTACAGATTCAAAGGTGAGAAAAATTGCTAAACTAAGAGACTGTCACTCACTCCCACCAGGTAGTACTTCACTGATATTTTATTTTAATATAAGAAATTAAAACTTCACAACACGCAATTATGTAAATAAATTCCAGGTACCAATGTTAATCTCTGAAACAGCAGTAATGATGCCAAATTAGTTTGCACTGTTAAGATGATTTTGTAATGTCAAACTAGGCATGATTTAGTTAAGAATAATAATAGATTATTAAAAATAGTTCACTGAAAATTAATCAGAATACAAAAACATGATTGCATGTAGCTTGGCTTTGGCCTAGATCTTTATGGAATTTTGAAATACAGATTGAAATATCTATTTTCATTCAGGTAAGCAGCACCTTCTTCTCTCAACAAGCCAAAGAAATGGCATTACAAGGAGTCTGCCTTCTTTCAAAACACCTTTTGTTTTCATATAGTTTCTTCTTTAAATGAGAAGAATAAACAACCAACAGATTTTTCTCAATATACAAAATGGCAGTACTTCATTGAAGTCACACTACTGTTTTTTAAAGAGAAAGCATATTTAGATATAACATCATATTAATTGCACTCTTCTTATATAAACTTATAAGGCTAGGATGAATGTTAGTTTCAATGAAGATGGCATCTAATTTTTGTCTACAAACTCCTTGCCAGCTTCTAACAACCACAGGACAGATTCTGCCACATGAAGTCAAGCTGAACAATACTTAATATTCTGAATTTTCTCACTGAAATCAATTGAAGATTACAATCCGACTGCTTGTACAGTAAAGCATTGCTGTGAGCGTAGGAGGCAGAACAAAGCTCTAGGAGCTGATATTTTCAGTAAGTGACATTCTGTACTCTTATTTGAAGTTTTTTTTTTATTTTACAAGCTTAAGAGAGTGTTCTTTTCTTTCTACTCACTTCTGTGCTCCCTGAGACAACAGCTTTGTCCACATTCACCGATAGCTGCTCTTCAGTCTGGCATACTCCCAATGACCACTCCGCACAGCGGTGATGAGCCCAGCAGTGACCTACCATTGAGAAAGTATTGAACAACTTTACAACTTTAACAAGCATCAACTGAGTTTCAAAATTAGCATTAAATGTAAAACTTTTTAAAAAACAATCTGACCTGCAATCCTTACTACAGAATATAGAACTTAATTTTAGTGGTAAATGCTTGCAGAACCGGGACTACAGTCTTTTACTGAAAAAACAGGAAGAGTGGGAGGAGGAAGGAATCAACAATTTCTCTACATATTGCAGTTTTTTTTATATACAAAAAGAAAAACAGATTTTTACACACATTTTTATACCTTTAGCTTCTAGTTTCAAAAAATATACCTGTGATAAGTCTGTGTGTACAGATACACTCAAAGTTAACTTCAGTTTTCTCCTCACTTATTTAACTGTGAACTTCTTGGGATAGGGATCAGCTCCCTTTGTCTGTTGGGAAAGCACCCAGTGCCACCGTAAACAAACAATTTTTTAAAAGGTCACAAAGTGTCATGCACAGGATAAAACAATTTTCTTTTTTTGTAAAAACATTGTGATTACAATAGTGGGTTGTCATTATTCAGGGACAATCACAAAGAAAAACTTGCTGTACTCATACTGGGAATACCTAGACTACAAATGTAGACCTTCCAGGACTCCAAGTACCTGTTAAAATGGCTTTCAATTCACCTGCAGGCCAAAGAATGAAAACCATAAGGATATGGTATAATGAAGAGCTGCTAATATTTATCTTCTCAGTTGAAGATATACTTTGCTGACATACTGTGTAAGACTTAGGTATGTACCTCTTGAAATTTTCTATTGGGCACAGACTATGTATATTGCAATTCTGCATTTAGTAGTACAAAAAAGGGGCTGAAAGTAAACAGAAAGAAATAATTGTAGGTATCTCCCAACAGTGGTAACTTGGAAGAATTAAAATTCTCTCAGCATCAGGCCTCCAGACTCCAGATGTAATTTTTAAAAACATACATTTAAAAGAGGTTTCTATGGAATCAAATTTTGAACCCAATTTTCACAGAATTCTGAAAAAGTAACACTACGACTAAGCTCAATACAAATCTAATAATATTTACAGAACAAGTTCTGAGTTCTCGGTTTCTTCTTTTATGGGATAAGCATATGGTAGAGATTGCTGGTATGGCAACATTTGAACTGAACTGCCCTGTGAAAATACAGGCAGTCCCCGACTTACGCGGATCCGACTTACGTCGGATCCGCACTTACGAACGGAGCTTTCTCGCCCCGGAAGTCGGGGCGAGAAAGCCCCGTTCGTAAGCTGCTCTGGTGCCCCTGGTCTGCTGGAGACCGTCTCCAGCAGACCAGGGGCACCGGGCGGGTTCCCGCGCTTCTGAGGCTTTGCCAGAGCAAAGCCTCAGAAGC